ACGCAGTATACACTCCTTGTAAGTTTTCTCTGTAGGCTTTTCTGGCTGCAACAAAGCTGTTAGTGTATGGTAGCCCTTAGTCCCAACACTAGTTAATAGTACGGCACGTTTCTTACCATTATAACTTATACTATTAGTCTTGAATCATGCCTCAAGAATTTCTACCCATTCCTCAAACTTACAACTTGTATCATCCCAAGTGGGTATTGTACCAATAATTCCTGGGCTACTTGGTTGCCATTGTGGATATCTAATTTAGAACGTTTAACCTATAGCTTGCAAGTTACAGCTTACAATTTACAAATTTCTAACGGCAATGGAATATTGAACACACAATTCTGAACAGTTATTTACACATGCTACAAAACGAACACGATCTCCAACAATTATCGAACATGTATCGAATAACACAGGCTAAAATGTCAGGTCTAAAACATTTTACAGGCTACATGTACCAGTATGTCACGTATGTACTGTCTTGGTAACACACAGGCTTTTTTTTTTTAGTTCACTTGGAAATTCCAAACAACATCGATTCATAACCACAGTCTATTTGACTTGTTTCACGAATGTCACGTACATGTACGTACCAATATATGTAACAAGTTCACATTGATACGTGTAGGCTGTCCGTAGTACATACACAGTCCACAGTGGTGGGATGTCTTGAGCAGCTGTTGGCTCTTCTGTTGACTCGGTAATACACTCTGCAACTTATGTAGTACGAGTTCGAGTCTGGGGGCCCTGCACATAACGAAGTAAGGCTATTCCATTGGCTTCACTCAACCCTCTTCGCCAAGTTCACAGTGTTGGCGTTCCTCCATGTGTACGTATAGTGCTAGGCATTAGCTAATTTTGCTTACGTACATGTGTGCTGCTGAAAGTTGTGTAAAGCTTTAAATTAAGTCTGGCTTGTTTCCTGGTCCCTCCACAAGCTGAGCTTTTCCTGGGGGGCGGCATGGTTACTCAACAGGTGGCTTAGAAATCAAAGCCGGGCGAGCTCATTAGTCATATGGGTAGTGATTTGCCTTCTGCGGGGTGGCTGGCATTTCTATCCGAGTGACTCGGGCAGGTCATCCAATGGCTTTCCAGAGATGGCTTGGAAGTTGAAAACGAAACCGGGCTGGACTCAGCGAGGGGAAGTCTGTCTGGTTTGGCTTTCTCCAGGCTATGGGCGGGTCGAACATCGACGACTCAGTCTTGCATTGCTGCTGCGACTGGGTTTCAACAAGCACAGTTACGGCTGGTGCAACCCATTACTGATGCTCAGTGGCTGCCTGCAGGCAGGCATGGAGAGTCATCCCGTTGACGGAATAGCACTGTGCTAAACATGTGCATGTGCTAGGCTACGATGGCTGGCTAGGCTGGCTAGTCTAGGCATATGGGCTCGAACGTCGCGTCGTCGCCATCATCCGTAGTTCCATGGCCCATGGTCACAATCGCGGTTGAGTTTTCGGCAATTAAATAGCACCCTCACTCAGTCCCTGCTACTGTCCCTTTAGCTATTTTATCCTCGTCGCCAACTGTTGTGTCCTAACACTGATTTATTATCAAGAGCATCATGATCAAAATGTAACACTACGGATAAAAGTTAAAGCATCGAAGTAACGGCTCGGCTACTAACTCACAAAACTTTGATTCTGCCACAAGAACACAAACATAATTAAAACATGTAGATCATGTCAACTTGTGCATGCGTATTACACTACATAACAAGATCATCCAGGGACCATTTCTGCAACGGGTAGCCTAGCATTTTATAACTGCCTAACACCTGGGAGTCTACCTTGTGCTTATCGCAAAAAAAGGCCTCATTGTGTTGATCACAATTTCTACTGCCTGTGCTGATTTCAACATATTACAGGGGAATGGATCGGTGCAATTATGGGGAAACATTTCCTAATAAAATTCCCCTGAGGTGTTTACTGTTTGCATCTGGGAGTGGCAGTCGGCCTATAGATGCAGTCGGAGAAAAAAAAAAACCAGAAAAAGGAGGTTTCAAATTCATCTTATCTTGATATAATTAACACAAGCAGCCAATTCATCGTGTCAGTGCTATGTATATCGTCCCATTTAAAAACTTGCACTAAAAGCTATGTCTTGAAAAATATTGCTTAAACATGAATTTGGGGATGAAAAATTGGTTGAAATTTAAATATTCTTGCCATAAAAACTAGTTTAAGAAAGTAGCCCATTGCAATACAATATTCCTTTCATACAGGAAGAACATGCATACATGTACATGTACAACATCCACAGAGAAAACCCAGATCGTCATGGAGGATTTTGACGTAGTCAAGTCAAGGCTTTGGGGTGCCATGGGCGACGAACAAATATCACTAAATCGTTTGTGGACGTCTCAGAAATCACAAAAGAAATTCATCCAATCCCAAAATTTGTTGCGCACCGTGCAGTGGCCAATTGACCAATCAAAATGTATGTTAAATACATGCCGCCATCGCCAATTTTTCCGGATAAGATTCATCATAGCTCATTTTTGGGAAAAAAGTAAATAAATAAATAAAACTTAGGCCTTTTTTGTGGGGGGCTGGTGGATTTTGAGTTGTCATTAAGGATTTATAAAATCTGTTGAAGTGGATTTTGGGGGAGGGGGAAGAATTTCAGTCTTAAAGTGACTTAGACTGGACGGAATCATCAGAAAATGGGCAAGTAGTACGGGGACCAGATATACATGTATGTTCCTTCATCTCAGAAAAGGTTTCGAGTTTGACCAAAAATTGCAGTTCACCTTCTGGAAAATGATAGACTTACTGGTTTAGACCGACCGGTTTGTGGTACTATATCTGTAATCACAGCCATCTATTCCAAGATTATGCATCAAGGAATTCAAGATGCAGTTTGTATTATTTCATGCCACGTTTTAGTGATATCTCCATGCATTTTTGGGTAGTTGTGACGTTAATTACACATCGTTTGCAAATTTTGCATAATCTTCGGAACAAAAAGAAATGTGGTTGAAAACTCTCCACCGATGGCCACCAAATTTTCAGGAATAATAAAACAAAGCAGCCGTAGGTTCTGGTTTGTGGTACGGCGCGACGGAGGTACCGCGTAACGGTTTACATGTACTGTGAGGGATACGGAAGGAGCGCTCATACTCGTCTCGAACTTCAATCGTTTACTGCTCGCAAACTCACAAGTGTTTACCGAGGGCCCTCACTCGTTACTCCCGAGTTCAAACAGGCCCCTCACGAGTTTTTGGAGAAACTTTTGGGCTGTACTATACTGTACAAACATACAGAAAGATGGAGCAACGGCCCTGCGTGTGCAGTGGTTCACTACACGTTGTCAGTCACCTTTGCAGTCTGCAGTCACAAGCCCTGCCGAGATGATGAGGTCCTGAATCAGGCTTATCGTGCATTGGACCAGCAATGCACAGTAAAAACCGCAAAGCGTGCATTGAACAGCGTGTCAGGCTCACTGATCGTGTTAGCATGTCGGCTAAAATTCTGACCTGCACTGTAGGTGATAGTCAGTTTCCCTATTTCATTTGTTTCATGATTTATGTTCAAAAAGCTATATCCTCTTCGTGTGATCCCTGTTCACCACTTCCCAGGCTGTATCATGTTATTAGGATCGAGTATTTATAAGTCAGTGACATTAAAGGCACAGCGTTTAAATTACTATACATGTATCTCCTGAAGTATACATGCATGTCCAATTGGGTTGAAACCTTGCAGATACATGTAGCTAGAGAGGAAAGTGTTACTGACGAAAATTGACACCATGTGATGACATGATCATTTGACGCGTCACATGACAATAAAGATACAACCTTTAAAGCCCTGTATCTTCTAAACCACATGTCTAATGGTTAAATCCATGCATGTACATGTAGCTACATGTAGAAAGGGATGCGTTATTGATGAAAACTGACCTGATGTGATTGTGACATCATCAAGTGACAAGTCATGACCATTAAAGGTGACCTCTTTAAATTACATGTACTATACCTTCTGAACCACAAATCTGATTAGGTTGAAATCTTGCAGTTACATGTACATGTATATGTACATTGTGTACATGTGTTCTACATGTAGATGAAAATTGACATCATGTGAGGATAATAATAAGCAAAAAAGCTTCCATTCCTTTCCATGAACAGATGAACCACTTTAGTTGTATTTGCTTTCCTACATGTACATGTACCTACAAATTCTATTGTAGCAAAAATTAGTTTACTTCCCGTATCCGCTGACTTAGTTTAAGCCGTTTGTACGAAGAAACTCCTAGTGCACATGTGAGCTCCTACATCATGTTGTTTGTTTTTATAATCTTCAAGTTGGGCGCCTCCGCTGTGCACGCATTACGGTGCAAGCAGTAATCGCACGTCGGTGCATTTTTTAGCGATTACTTGTTGGGTGCACTTTATCTAGGTCTTGGGTGTGCGAGTATTATTCACCCATGCTTAGTGCACTTTTAGGAGTTTTTGTAGCCCAATTAGGTAGCACGAGATTAAATTCGTTGCTAGGTATGCTGAACTTTGGGTCTTGATTTGTTGTTATTATTCGGGCTAGGACTAGACTTGGACTTGTCAGATTGCCGTCGCTGCCACTAAAGAAAATAACTGTTACGAGGGAGGGAAACCCATTCTCGGTTATTTGAATAAACCTACACTTAGCTCAGAGAATCGACGCAGCTGTTCATCTGCGTCACAAGGAATTTTGAGAATTGCATCACATCTCAGCTTCCATCACATCCATTATCCTTCCAAATTTATTGTTTCTGATTTTGTAAATTTATGAATCACATACATCATGGTCACTCTAACATTTCATTTCACAAAGCTACAAAGCAGGAAATTTGACCTCACACTTAGAAAATTCATGTTCTATACTCAATAGAAATGAAACGTCCAGTACACTATATGGCATTATGGATGACTACATATTTCATGAGCATGTAATTCTGGGTGTAACAGCTCCATAGACTTTGCTCCAGTCTTACATGCATTTTGTTTAAAAAAATTGAAAACGCACCATTTCCTGGCTGAGGACAATGCTGAAGTCTCTATCCAGCTCCTGCTCTCTAGCATGCTGGACACGCTGTCCCAGGCTGGAGGATGTGATGCGTCGGATGATCTCACTGAGGAAGGCATGGGATTTCTGCTTGCTAAAATCTGGGGTGGTCGCACACAAGTATGTGATGCCATCTTGTACAATCACTGGGAACATATATCTAGAATGAGGTAAATAAAGGTGATGGTAATTCTAAAAGTGGTTTTTAGATGTTGTCTGATCTACTCTTAACTTTTGGAAAGGAAGCAGCAAATTAATGACCAAGATGACCGACACAAGGAGGAACTCAGAAGGGAATGTGACATGGATTCAAAATTATTTTAAAACTAGTAAGCACTCAAACAATGGACAGCTTGATTCAAATCATTCAACATTGAATTCCATCCACTAGAATTTTCATGTGGACTTTCAAACATCAGTAAAGGTTTTGATGTTGGAAAGGCAATTTCAATATTTTTTGGGAATAGCTATCATACAATTAGAATATTAAAGGAAGAGGTTAACAAAAAGATTATCCACTGCCTGAAATGACACGGGTCTTTTTTAATATTCTATTAAAATTGAACTCCTCAAATAAGGTCGCTCACATACGTGTGCATTTAATTAATTTTGAACTTTACCAATTTTTTTATTCACAAACATTAGGGTCAGTCTGGAAATGTCACCTAGCAGGTTCTTACTGATCTGATGTGTAGACCATTTTTGAATCCTTATATGGGATGTTCTGCAGCATTGACTGACACACACTGGAAAACTTGTGCTCAGAGCTCGCAGAGTTTTCCACCAGGAGGGTACCACCCCTAGCTATACAACTGTACAAGATCGTCATTCTGTGGTGTGGTGTTTGAGGTACAGTGTGTTAGGAGGATATGACATCAGAGTGAGTATCACGCAGACTGCTGAAAATAAAAAAGAAAGGAAACCAGCTCAGCAAACTTATTAACAAACATTCTCTCGCAGACCCATTCCAACCTGCTTACAGAACATACCACAGCACACAGACAGCATGACTATACATGTACATGTGTTAAAAACGACATTTTGAAAACTCTGGACAAGGCCATTTTCTTAGTTGTGCTGTGTGCTGCATTTGACATTCTTGATCGTAGTCTCACGTTATGTCACATCACCTCAAAAACCATTTAGGTGTTACTGATACTGTCCTTTATAATTTAGTATTATCTGCAGCCACAATATCAAATATCAAATACATGTATATGCTAATAATATTCAGATACATGTATATCATGACTTTCACGCATCTGTTCCCAATGATGCAGCATGTGCTGGATGCTCACAAACTCCAGCTGATCCTGCTGATTAGGGATAACACTTAATTTTCACTGCCTTGTCATATCATCAGAAAATTATGGGTAACTTACATCTAACTCTTATAAAAGACAAGACAATTAGGCCGTCTCAAACAGTTAGGAATTTGAGTGCTGTTTTCCGTAGTTCTATGACAATGAGTGCATAGGTCGCATGTACATAAAATCTATCAACTACATGTACCGCAACAGAAACATTTTCAGAAATCAAGGCAGAAACAGTGTGCCCCATCGTCTTTTCTACAGGGCATAAAAAGGGAAATAAAGTTCAAAATTTACAACAGGATCTGTTCAACATGCAGCGCTACTGGGCAACAATGCAGATTGACCAATCACACCTACATGTAACAGTAACACCATGCTCAGAACATCTTTCCAGCATAGCACTTATTGCAATCAAAATTTTAAATCTTTTTTTTTTTTGAATGGGGCAACAATATTGCAATTTTGTTTCAACTCAATGTCTTTCAGTACCCACAGTATTGATAAGAAGTATGGGTTCACATGTTTCACACGATCTTAGTTGGCAGGAATTTTTGGTCCACTCAAGCCACTTGTTTTGAATTGATTCCTTTTTGATGCAGGAATTAAATGATTGTAATCATGAACAAATTGAATTATGTTTTATCTCTAAAACCATTTGATGCGATTAGAAATGTTGGTCACTATGCAATGAAATCAAAACAGTAACAAAATGTTAATAGGGCGAGTTTCAATCAAGCCTAAGTCACTACTCTAGTAATGACAAAGAAGATGGTTTTTTTTCTTTTTTGCTTGGCTTACTACNATAACAGGTTTTGCCCTTACCCAACATATATTAATACGCACCGTATGCTCAGTGCTTGTCCGAGAGCTTGCGAAAAAACCTCATAAGCTTACTCGGGTGGGACCCGAACCCACGACCTCCTGCTTACTAGTGCATTCTGTTTGGCTGGGTAGTCTGGTTCCCAGCCCAAAGATTCCATTAATAAAAATGTTTGACAAGAATAGTTGGAACTATCGGGTCTGGTATCCAGACTATTTGGCTGGGGAGCCTGGTGCAAGTACCGTGTACAGCGTGTGATGACCAGGGCAGGGCAACATAGTGATAATGGTCACTCTTTGGTGTTTTCAAACCATGGCAAAGCTTGAGATAAAAACGTCAGCCTAGTTGTATCACATGATGGAGCTGACTACGAAATCCTTGCTTTGTCTGTGCCTCAGGCTTGGATGAAGGAGCCCAAGCTTCAAGACAAGATTTGATAAACTGCATTCCTGTCAATTCCTATGAGAACCATTGGTCTGTACATGTTTATAAATTAATAAAAGCGCGGGACCAGGCCATATTTCAAATTGCAAAGGTTATTTGGTTATGTCAGTAGTGGTAATGAAATGACTTTGTGCAATCACTGACCCTAGAAAATTTACAACTATGTATATTTTCTAACTACGTCTGCTATGGAAATAATGTAACCTGAGCTCAAGCTTGCAGCCTAAAGGTCATGCTTGCAGCCTAAAGGTCATAACTTACATGTTCATTGAAACATCAATTTTATTAAAAACTTCTGACAATAAATCGGTTACCAAAAAGTGCATTCCCAGAAATGAGTACTTATAATATTTAGGTTCTTGTCATTTCAACATTGCCCGGTAGAAAGCTTTGGACTTTGGACTAAAAATTTATTTACAACCTCAGCACCCCTAAGAGAAATGTGTTCCTGCAGGCATGACCTCAGGTAAAACCTGAAGGAAGTGATTTTTATGGTTAGGGGCATAGTTGCCCAAACAGGCCTCTTGACTGAAGCCCTGAGGGAGGCTCAGCTCCAGGACAGCAGTATGAGTTGGTTCATGAAGTTGAAAGAAAAGGGAGAAAGTCAGCCTTCAGGAGTGGAAGACTGTGTCCCACTTTCTAGTCATAATATGTCCAAGACTTTCTGGTCACAATGGGACCAAATAATTTAATTCATTCATTAATTCATTTTTATTTACCCCACACTTTGTGTCCAATAAGCCAAATTGTATGTGAGTTTACAAAAATGAGAAAAAGATTAACACGATTCAAAAGCCATTAAGGGTAAACACTTAAACAGAAAAATATTTAAAGACACTTAAAAACAGACAATCAAAATTTCCTTTTACATTAATCTATAAATACACATAAGTTAGAATGATATAAATATTAAAAAAACAACCACGTTCCAAGGAAATGTGCACAGCTAAAAAAAAGAGAATTAAGGTTAAAATTGAAAAAAAAAACATAAATGGATGTGATCAATCAAAATTGGTCCTTGCGAACTGATTTTGTTTTTCACCTATAAATTTCATCATTTGTTTCATTCATGAGTTTTGCCAGGTGACAGCATATCTCACCAATCTACACTTAGGTTGATCGAAACGGCGCTTTTCTCTAAGGGTCATTTCATGGTAACTGCTATTATGCTTGAACCAGGATTCAAATCTAGCAGAGTTAACACACAATTGGGCAAATTTCCTACTCAACATTTCTCTTCTATCATACAAGGTCGGAAGTTTCAATTCAAACATGGCATGATCATAACCAATATAGCTAGGACCAAGAATTATTCTACAGGCTCGTTTCTGAACTTCCTCGATGGCTTCAATCTGGTTATGTGTGAGCCCTGAACTCCACACGGGTGCTGCATATTCGAGCACAGAACGAATGTATGTCATACATATTGTAACAAGGTACAGTTTGTGATAAAGGCTTACATTAAGCCACAAGCGATTGAAGAAGTGGACATCCCAAGAATTAGGTGCTTCAGAGGCAACTACAGATATTGGGAACTGATACCTGGTTTCTATGCCGACGACTTGGTCCACTTTTTTTATTTTTATAGAAAATATTTTGAAGACAAGGCACTTGCCCAATTTAAGGAAATCGGCTCTTATAAATTACAAACGTCCATTAAGATTCTGTTCAAAATTGAAAAGCCAGGAGTAGAAACTAAACTCGGCATTTTCACAATTACGAGCCAAAATAAAGTGGTCTTTTCAAAAAAGGAAATTAAAGAAGTTTTAGCCCAACAATTTGCCAAACATTTAGAAGACGTGGAAGCTCACGAGCAAAGAGGCTCGGGCTGGGTGTTTGATAAAGTGCACGCCTTTTACATCAACGTGGTGAAATATAATCCAGTTGGCACTACTTATATTCCACTCCCAAAATATTTAGCGGCCAAAACTGCAATTACCAATGTCCAAAATAAAGACCAAGAGTGCATCCGTTGGGCATTGAGATCTGCTTTAAAATTATATTCAGACAATGTCAAGCATCAGTTAGAAACGAACCCAAATTACAAAATAAATAACGAGCGCACCTTGACTTAGACTAGAGAAGACAGCCTAAATTTCAAAAATATAAATTTTCCAACACCAATTTCACAAATTTCACGCATCGAATCACAGAATAATTCAGCCATTAATGTGTTTGGCTATACTGAGAAAGAAGGGATTTACATGTATGTGCTTTATAAGACCAAATGCGAAAAAGAGCCCATCAATTTCCTCTACTTTACCAAAGGCGAAACGAGTCATTATTGTTGGATCAAAAATTTCTCACGTTTGATGGGCGACATTGATAAATAGGCCACAAAAAATATTGGCGCTTCAAATGCCTGTCACATTTTCAAAATGTAGAATGACTCGCCCGGCACCAAGCAGACTGTCAAGGAATTGACGCAGCAGCGTGCAAGGTCGAATTACCCGCCAAAGGCAAAAATATTCTCAAGTTTGAAAATTATAAAAACAAGCAAGACGCCCCTTTTATAATTTATGCAGATTTTGAATCTGTTTTAGAGCGCCTTCCCCCAACCTCACTAAACACGGTCAAGACCCAGATCCATAAGCTGTGTGGTTATTCATACGCAGTCATTAGATGTGACAGGCATAGACAAGCACTTATTCTTTGAAAGGGCTAAAAGAGGTGGCATTTCTAGCGTGGGTGCAAAGTGCTATGCAAAGGCAAACAATCCGGGCCTACCAGACTACGACCCAAATAAGCCAGAGTCGCGTATCATGTATTTTGACGCAAATAATTAATACGGCTGGGCCATGAGTCAGCCTTTGCCTTTTAAACATTTTAGGTGGATTCAGGACGTAACTTACCCCAGAATACATCTAAAAAATTTACCCAAGAGCATCAAAAGGTTATATACTCGAGGTGACGTTAGACTATCCGCGACACTTACACGATAAGCAAAACGACTTCTCACTAACACCTGAAAATATATCGATCCCGAATGAATGGCTGTCAGAACATCAAAAAGACTTGATATTCAACGGCGAGCAAATTACTTCGATAGATAAACTCGTATCGACTTTAAACACTAAAAATAAATACGTGGTTCATTATCGAACTTCACAGAAATATTTAGAACTCAGCATAGAATTAAAACAGGTGCATCGTGTCATGTCATTTAAACAGATGCCTTGGATGAAAAGTAATATCGATAAAAATACCGAGTTACGCAAATTAGCCAAGTCTGATTTTGAGACGGATTTCTTTAAATTGATGAATAACTTGGTTTTTGGTAAAACTATGGAAAACGTGCGCTACCGAATGGATGGGCATT